CCCCCCCCCCCCATTTTCGAACACAAAATACGTGTAGTCTGTGTCGTGGTTTCAGCCATAAGCCTTGGTATTCCAAAACGACAAAAGATACGCGCATACACATGCCCCTTGTTACCTAAGCTCCCGCTTGTTGCAGGTACATTACGCTGGTGACTACATGACAGCATACCTGTTCCACCAACTCTAGCCCCAAACTAGCCGACACGCTGGTCCGCTTGATCCACTGGCCTTGCTCGCCCCTCGATAGTACGCACAGATCCTTAGGACACAGCGAGCGACATCACCACCGGCGATCAACACCAGCACGGCCAGCCACAGCGCCGGCACATGCCACAAACAGCACGGGAGGCGGAGGGAGGGTCGCACGGCGAGTTAGGGGAAACGTGTTCGCTTAGGCCATGCACAGCGTTTGGTCTGGCGGGCTCGGAATGACTGTCGTGAAAATACGACCTTGTCTTTCTGTGCTGGCGATAACCCGAAGAAAAACAAGAACAAGAACAAGAACAAAAACAAAAACAAAAACAAAAACAGCGGACTAGACGGCACCCACGGCAGTGCATGCCATACCATACGCCAAGGAAACCTTGCGAGGCGTGTCGGACTGAAACTGAAAACACAAGAAGTTCGGTTTTGCGCAGCAACGGTAGTGGTGGCCCCTGTCCTCAAGCGACCTCAAGCGACCTCAAGCGACCTCAAGCGACCTCAAGCGACCTCAAGCGATGAGGAAAACTCCAACCTCCAACCAGAACAGTCTCGCATACCGTACTGTGCAGGATCTTCGTGATAGCACCGCACACCACACGCTGGTGTCCATGACTGCTGTCGCCCACGGCAGTACAACCCTGTTTCAGGTCCAGCTCTACCAAACACCCAACCGAGTGCTGGCCGCCGACCGCCTCCTCTTTCCGAAAGCGACGTCCGTCAACTGTGGTTGTACAGCTAAACACTCGGTGCGTTAACAACAAATCCGCTTACAACCCCGCTTGTTCGGTAGCTACACAGCCCACCAAACTCCAACAATTTGTCCCCCAACGAAAACCGTCCTTCACCTGAAACACGAGATGGGCGCACCGCAGAGCCCCCTCCCCCGCCCCGCCCCCCCCCCCCTCGTCCTCCTCCTCTACCACAGCCTCCTCGGCCGTGCCGGCCTCGCTGTCCTCACCATGCATCTCCATACCCCTACCCCCGGAGGCAGCGAAGCCGCCGGCACCGCCGCCGGAGGCGATATTAGCGGCAGCGGCGGCGGCGGCGGCGGTTACGCCAAGCTCGTCGGCGACTCGGTCGAAGAGGAGCGAGATGATCTGGCGCACCGTCATGTCGGCGGCGGTGCGCACCATCGCGTTCTTCGCATCGTGCAGCCCGAGGCAGACGCCCAATGCCTGATCGATTGATTTTGGTCGCGGGCGTGATTTTTGCGGCGACAGGGTGGCTGCCTGGGGTCTGGAGTGCATGGCATCGAGAGATGGTCGCATCACATCAGAGCGCACAACGCAGGGACCTATCTACCTCGGCGGATGAGATTGGGGTGTACCCGGTGTTGTTATGTTCACATCAACATCCGTTCTGACCTCTGTCCATAACCTCCGCTTCCCTACTGGCGTGCACTCACTAACCATTAGAGTTTGTTGGTGTGGCTTGAAAAGCAACGTCAAGTTCGTGACGTACTCCAACAGATCAAGGCAACGGTATGCAGTCTTCAAAGGATAACAGCATGAAACTACTTGAACAGTACCGGCAGAATGGGTCTACTTGAAACTAGGGTATGAGTAGAACGGCTTGTTGGACCAAAAAACACTGACGTGAACGAAACACAGCAGTAGCGATGGTGGCGTGATCTCAAAAATCGCCCATGCAGCCGGTGTGGACAGCAGTAGGGGGGGGGTGTACTCATTGCCGTGCATGCCGTAGTCGTTAGACCATTGACCTCGCATCCCTACAAAGCCGGGACGGAGCACACCGGGTNGTGAGATATTCGGCGAGTCGCATGAAGGGTGCGCTGCATCCTGCTAAGGGTGTTCGGCATCTTGTGCTCACAGCAGTAGGGGTGGAGATAAATACCTGTGCCACGGTGTCTTCGGTCATGTCGCAGCTCTTCCACGTCACCACCATGACCATCGTCTGCAGCACCCGCTTCTGGACGTCGGCGTCTTTGCTCTGGCTCTGGATAGCCAGGACTCTGCCACCACCGCAGACGAGAGAGACACACAAAAAGCAAAGTATAGCAGGAGTTTGTTAATATGCTATGTAGTATACCCGGTACTGCCGAGGATAGTTCCTGCAGAAATTACGAAGCTACCCGTCTGAGCAGCAACCGATAACTCAACCCCGACAGGATAACAAAAGACCACAACGATACGCCATTGGACAGCGAAAAGCACCTGCTGCCGCGTCATCCATGGTGACGCAATCGGTCTCGTGCATTTACACTGCAGGAGCCCGACTGGGCAACGGGTACCGGAATAGTACTCGAAAGAATACCAGGGACACACCAAGATGAAAGTGCCCCGAACGCAAGGAAGCCAGGCTTTGCATTTCAACGGCTCCCCTACGGTCAGCGCTACACTGCTGTAGCGATCGGTTCACACCTAAGAATGTTTGGGGCGTCGGACGGCAGGATGGCGTCTCGGTTGATGAGGTACTGGATGGAGTCCATGGCCATAGTCATCAGGTGCGGGGACGCGTCGGCATGGTTGCACGCCAAGAGGAACGGTCGGAGGAGGTCCTGAAGCACACCACGGTCAAGGGTTATGAAGGTGAGAGGTAGAGTTGTGGTTGTACGCCATCAGCAACGACGTGAAACGATCCGGAACCAAACAAATACACACACATACACGCCCCCTCACGGGGTCCCAGATCATAATGGCTTCTATAAGCATCTTGTGTTTTCAACCGCATTGAGACTAACGTCGTTTCATTAGTCAGCCGGTTAGCGAGGTCGATGCAAACAATAAAAACACACACAAGAACAACCACAGAGGGTCGTGGGAGAAGCCAAAGGCGAGCGAGCGTGCTCATCGCGTCGCCGCCGTTCCCTGAGGTCTCGGGACGGTTGTTGGTTCAACGGCGATGTAATAGTTGAAAGGGACAACGCGGGGCAAGGGGTCCTCACCACCTTGCTAGGCTGTAGCTTCACGACAATACAAGTAGTTCTTCCCCCAAGCAAAAGGGAAGGGCGAGATTGATTCCTGAGTGTCGTTTGGAATACAGCTAATTTGTCCACTATAAAGTCGGTAGAAAAACAACAACAGCTGAAGAGACTCCCACGCAGGTGGCTTCTAGTAGTGCGACTAAAAGGCTATGCCTTTCCCAAGCCAAATCGACACACGAAAGCAAACGAGAGCGGCAAGAAGAATTGCTGTAGAGTGCGTAGAGAGATACCTGGGACCGGAACATGGAGAGAGGCGGAGCATTGCCCTCGTGCTGCTGCCTGAGCGCCACCGCATACTCCTCGCGCATGTTTCTCAGCTTCAGAATGGCCCTGAAGACCGCGGAAGGCATTCGCGCGACACGGACGGCCATTGTTCGCAGGGCATCAGATGGGACGATATGGCTGGTGAAGGAATGCGCGGGCTCTGGAAAGACGATTCATAGCTGGTAGCCTTTCCGATTCGGTGTTTGGTGGTGTATTGCCTAAGAAAAACGTCACCGCCGTTAAACTTTAGCATCGCCATCAACGAGAATTGGAGTGTGGTTGGGAAAAGGTGCACCAGCACACGGCGCTGCTTGAAGAAGAGCGGCACTACCAAACGGGACAAGACACATTGTCATGACGATTCGTGCAGGTCGGTAGCTTTCCCCTCGCAACACGTTAGCCACGGGACCGAACACACGGACATCGCGCGCATGTTGCGGCACCATTCTCGGAGGGGTCGAACAGATGTGCGACAAATCGCACTACTCCTCATGCCTCCACTACAACTGCTGTCCCAGCAACCGTGATGTGAGGACAACATGCATCGGAGGACGTCCACACACACACACAGGGCAACGACAGAGCACTTACCTTCCCATGATCCAAGAACACTGTTTTACTGCTGTCCCAGCAACCTTGACGGGAACAACACACATCGGAGGAGCTCTACACGCAAACACACGAGACGAGCACCCGAGGAGGGATTGTTACCGCCGCCTTCATACCTTTCCGCCGCCTCCTGCACGACCGGGTGTCGTCGACGGGCCTCTGCCGCAAGGCCTCTGAGCTCCTCCTCCACCACCCGCAGGAACTCCATGGTGCTATCTTATCTCTCCCCCCCTCTCCGTCAGGTTTTAACGGTTCTGCGCAAGCAACAGCCAGGTCTCGTAAGTCAGACGGTGTCAACAAGCAAGATTTTGCAAGGGGGTTTTGCAGGCGAGCTGCTCTCGAGCATGGAGCAAAAGTGTGCTGCCCATCGCAAGTCAGACGCTCACCCCGAACATGTATTTTTCACCTTGGACCATAGGGAACAACCCAACCCGCCAGACGCTCGTGCAACACCGCACGATAGTTGGTTGAGGGGAGGAATGCAAAAAATTTCTTGTTGTGCAAGGCATCGTGTTGTGGTCGATACGGGGTGTGTGCAACCAGCGGGGCGGAGGCGCCCTTACCGTGGTCTTCGCGATGAGAGGTTTTGCAGCAGCTTTGCCAAACTATAGACTCCAGCCTGGGGGCAAACTACACACCCACCGAGCACATGGCTTAACAGAATAAACGCAAGAGCACTGCTGTGCGCATGCTGCAGCAAAAAGATGTGTGGAACAGATACTATAGTCGTGTTGGCAGCAGCTACAGCAGCACAGCCGTATAGACTACGGAGTGCGGCAGTCACACATTTGGGTCGGAACAAATTGGTTGATTGTTGCGTTTGTTCTTGGTGTCGTCTTGCGATTGGACTACTGCTGTGCACAAATCAATCTCCCTGCACTTTGGATTTTGGATTACTGTCGATTTCTCTGTGTGTATGTATGGCGTACATGCAACAACCAGCGGAAACAGTACCCCTGGCTGCTCTCGGTACACTTTCTGCATGGTGGTCGTAGCAAGGCGCACTGATTGCTGTTGGAGCCTTTCCGTGCAAGGTATTTGTGTATGAGATGAATATGTTCGCGTACCTTAGCCGAGCTGGTTCCAGTGAAGAAGTTGCCCGTGCAACCAAAGAAAAACCTCACGCGGGGGTATGAGGTCTCTCTTCTCCGTCAAGTAGGCTCTCCACTCCACGCCTGGCGGTCGTTGCCGCCGCAACAAGTGTTCCTGTGTTCCTGTACTCTGTGCTGTGTGATGCTTTCTCGAGCGGCTACCTGTACCCCAACTCTGACCCCTGATCCACGGAGCCCCTAGGATTACTGCACAGGCCTACCCAGACACACACAGCCTCCGGTGTGTCTCGTAAGCATGGGGAGCCTTCGCGCGACCGACCTCGTCCTGGCTGCGGCAGTGGCCAGTATCTGCTGCACCGTGAATGGTTTCACGCCGCCGACAGCGGTTGTAGTCGGCAACAACGCCGCGTGCTTCCGCACAGCAGGCGGCACCTCAACAGCAGCACCAGCGATCCAGCCGCATCAACAGCAGGAACGGAGACGCAGGCGAGGACTGCCATCTCTCCGGGTGGCGGAGGTCGAGGATGACGGGATCGAGGAGTACAAGAGGAAGATGGCGGAGTTCATGGCCGAGGCGCACGAGAAGCGTCTGCAGGCGATGGAGGCCGTCAAGAAGGAGGTGCAACGGGGCTACGAAGAGCAGATAGCGGACCTCCAGTCGAAGGTTTGTAACGACGATTATAATACAACACAACAGCAGTCGGAAAATGTGGATGTAAGCTACCGTGCACGTACACCACCTTGTGGCGACATGCTCTTTGCTCGAGGAAGGACCCTGCGAAGTAGCAGAGACTGCTGTGGGTGCATGTGCCTGCCGTCTATTTAGCGTGGAGTTAATGCTCGATCCTGTGCGACCAACGTGACACCAGCTGGAAATCGATCATGCTCATCGGATCAACATGCGCGGGACGTTGACCAACTGCTCGTTCACGACAACCCTCCGCAGCGCACCGCGCCCACAAACGGTAGCACGCTCCGTAAACACGCCACACCCCCGTATCGTCAGAGAATGCCGAAGCTTTGTGCGGCTGCCGACATACGTCCCTGGCACCTCTCCATTTTCACGCACACTGCTCTTCTGCTGTACACCCCCCCGACGTCCGCGTTCGTCCGCAGCTCGCCGCACTCCCCGCCTCCGCCGATGCCGACAAGGGAGCTGCAGCAGCTACGGCGATTCGAGCGGAGGAGCCCGTGCTCGTGGGTGCTGGACAAGGGGCGTCCGTGGGCTCTGCTGGGGGCGCCGCGCAGCACCCCAGCTACGCGGGTGCGAACGCTGCTTCTGCTGCAACAACAATCCAATCCCGTACCACACAGTGGTACGGGTACGCGTTTGCCAACATACGTGTACCTCGTGCCCACATCGGGCGCTTCGATCGCAGCTCTGCTCCTTGGTTGCAAGTTGCCGTCACGGATTTTAGACTAATTTACATTGCGGACAGTATTATCCTCACTCACAATCCAAGCGAATGTTGCATCCCCTTTCGTGAAATCAATCGAAGTTTTTCTAAGACTCATTTGCACGTTTTTCCCGTCGAATACATCTCAGCTCGTTCGGCGCGCCCCGGATGGGAGGCTAGATGGGGGGCGGAGGAACCCGCGCGGGCGTCGCCAGCCGTTACCACAGCGGACGTGAGTTCTATGGAGTCAAGGGCCGCGGCGGCAAGTGCGCTTGGCAGCGGAGCGGTTCACCCCGCCTACGCGGGTGAGCACAGAGAGAGGTTTTTCATGCGTACTGTACCCCCGCTTGGCGACGAACAACTTGAAGAGGCACTTCCTGGGGCCTGGTGCCGCCTCGAAGAGACACTTCCCGGGGGCTGATAGCGCCGTATTCCACACAAGACGTCACTCCCCAGTTGTAATGGCCTTCACAAATGTTATCACCGGGTGTGGTTTTCTGTGGGTTGAGATGTGGCGTGAAGTTTGCGGGGGTACGGAGCGTGCAACTTCATGCTCAACAATATTTTATGCTTTTCGCCGAATTAGGGGGGGGGAGATGTGTATAAGAGACAGATGGTGAGTT